GGTTGTGGGACTCTACTATTAAAAATAATCAAAATTCTTTTTTGTTTTAGAGAAGTTAGCATGATAATAACCTATTAAGAAGTCGCTATTATGCTAACTTCTCTAAAACAAAAAAGAATTTTGATTATTTTTATTAGTGGAGTCCTACAACCCTAATAAAACTTTCTATATACCTCTTTTTTGTTTATTCGTAGTAGTTTTATTTTTTTTAAAAAGAACTTTAAATTTTGATTTAAACACAAATATCTGCCTATGAAGCTTTAACATAGAATTTAAGTGTCACGCTTAATATTATTCTAGAAGCAATTTACAGATCTGCAGATCTAACAATCCTGTTTAAACAGGTTTTTTAATCTTGAATAAACTATTTTTAGATTGGTTTGATTTTGTGTAACAAAACAGTTTTTGGTGATTTTCTCAAAACCTGTGATTAGCCAAATTCCCTGGTTTCTACTTTTGGGGGCCCACATTAACAATGCATATCAGACAACCATGTCAACGCTAATAGAGAAAGTGAAGGAACTAATAGGACAACAAGCTGAAATCCAAAGACAATGGAATAAACAAATGCAAAATACTATGAACAAATATTTTAACAAACTGGAACAGGTCGGTATAATGAGTGATATCACAGATTCAAATAACAACTATATGAATAAAAAAGAGAGTAACAACCAAACAACACCAACAACAATATGTTCACCACCAGAAGTAAGGAATAATATCCCACAAGGTAATTACCCACCTATCTCTTTATTTAACAATATAATAGTTAATGCAGGCTTGTCAGATGCAACAATACATACAAACAGTGAACCAATAATAGCAAAAAACAAAGCCCAGAAATATCTATCAATTAATTACTCAACACTAAAGCAGCTACCAACAGTTCAAGGATTCGCAAACCCACTAGCAGCTAGTATTAAAAGTAAAAGATTATGGTAGTTTTCAAACTAGTATGAAGGACAAAAGATAATTAAAATGTTACTTTGCAAACCCAACCTGTTCTCAAGACTATGGAAATCAATAGCATTTGGAAGCTATATCGAACTTACTGAATTTGCATACAAAAACATAAAAGCAAGTGCAAAATATCATCATAATGATCTACCATTGCAGGCCTCAGAAGGGGGATATATTGCTATTGGCAAACAACCAACATATAACAAATTTAATGATATATTTAAATAGCTACTAGCATTTAAAGTATACTTTCTTATAATCTATAAAAAATAGGAACAAGAGCTAAATTTTTACTGAGATTATATGGGATCTTTGCTAGGATTTTTTTTTTCTAAAAATAGATTTATTATGTTTTTTTTAATAAAAATCTTGTGTAACAATGGCTCGTAGGGTCATTTTTCTAGCAAAGATCCCATATTAATAATCTATGTGTTTGGTACGAGTTTGCTGCAGTAATGGCATATGATGAAGATCAGAACTTGCACTAGCAATGAATTAGGATACTATACTGTTCGATAGAAATATAGAAGCTGAAGGAGAAAACTTTGATACAACAACTACTAAGAAAAAAAAGTTTAAAAAACTGCGACCCTCAAGAAGTAACACAATGTGGCATAATGGAAGAGAAATTTGCATATACTAGAAAAGAAGAAATTGTAGTGATGATAAGAAATGTAGAATAGTACATGCATGTCTGTTCTGTAAAAAAATAGGTCATCAGGAGCAAAGATGCTTCGCAAACAATCATAGTACTAATGCGAGATTTAAGCAAAGTGATCATTCGAAGCATAATTAATGATAATCAAAAAAAAAAAAAGAAAAATGATAACAATAATAACAATAATAATAATGAAAAAAAAGTGGTAACAATGTAAGAGTGAAAGCATAGGCAGCTAAGATAACAATATATATATCTTGATACTATGCCATTTTATAAAATAAAGTTACATAATAAAAAAAAATAAAAATAAAAAAAATAAAAATAAAAATATTTAAACTATTCCTTTTGACATCAATTTCGTATAAAATAACATTTAATTTCATACAAAATGACATTCAATTTCGTACAAAGTGACATTTAATTTTGTACAAAATGTCATTTAAATTTGCACAAAGTGACATTCAAATTTGTACAAAATGACAATTAAAATAAGGTTGACTAAATCGCGATATCTCATGATACGGTGGTCCAATGTGGGTGATTTTAGTTTCATTCAAATCGTCTCATCGAGAGGATTTGAATGGTACCAAAATCTTCTATATTGGACCACTATATCACGAGATATTGCGATTAAGTCAAACTTATTTTAATTGTCATTTTGTACAGATTTGAATGTCACTTTGAACAAATTTAAATATCATTTTGTATGAAATCGAATGTCACTTTGTATAAAATTAAATATCATTTTGTACGAAATTAAATATCCTTTTGTACGAAATTGATATCAAAAGGGATAATCAAGATAATGATATTTAGACAATAGGCGCAGAATAGAGTTTCAATACATAGCTCAATATAAACTATTACGCAATATAACAACATGTAACCTACCAGTTCTCCAAATAGCAAATAAAACACTGCAGAGTATTCCTTCATGGAGCATTCTATTCATAGCAGAAGAAGTTAAAATTCTTTCACAGATTAGCTTTGAAAAGTTCAATGTGAGAATAACTATAGATGTTCAAACATTTAAAGTACTTACAAACTACCACCCCAATTGCCCCTTTACAGAATACCTGATACAAGGAATTACCAAAGGATTTAGATTTAATTTTTCAGGTGCAAGGGTAAAAAAGATCCAAGAAAACTTAAAATCAGTTGAACTAGAACCAACAGCTCTTGCAAAACATATCTAAGAAGAGATAGAGAAAGGCCATATATGCAGTCTATTCTTAGAAAAGCAACTACTATGTGATCTATTTCAAGTAAACCCCTATGGTTTAGTTAAAAAAAGAGAACAAATCCCAAAGTGTTTCGAGTAATATTCTATTTATTAGCACCATTCGATGCAAATATTAATAAGGGTATTGTTGGTGGCAAAACCGCCAAAACCCGCTGCACCAAAACCGATGCCACGAGGCCGAAAACGTGACGAAAGACACGAATCGGGGCCCCCCCAAAATCGGCTAGAAAATCGGAAGAACCAGT